GAATTGTCATTCCAATTCTATTAAATTCCTTCGAATTCCGCAAACTAAATGACCCTTTATTTTGTTGTTTACAGTAATACGATTTTATTTATATTTTTTAAAATAATATTTTGTTAACAACTAATAACATATTTTTTTCAATTCAAAAAGTAATATGATGTTATATTAATTATATCCCACAAACAACAAGTTTCACTAATTGAAACCAATTAAAAATAGTACTTTTTTTTTTTATTGTTTCAATACATATAGTGGCATGTTTAGTTGCAAATCGATTTTCAGTTGTGAATCAGAGAACAAAAGAGAGTGCGCCACGTGTCCCAATGTCCACATTCAGTATTAATAACGAATGTTCACCTTCGTTATTCATACTGAATGTGGATATCGAGGATATCTGTCGTGCTCTCCTTTATCTCATAATTTATAACCGAAAATCGATTTACAAACTGTACTTTTTTATTTCTCTATATTACTTTTCTTAAAATAAAGTGTTTTATAAACTATGCCTTACAAATAATAATATAAGTAAAGTTTATCCAAACAAATATCATATAAAATTTATGTAATTAGAATTAAAAATATATAGTTTTAAATTACAAAAAATATTGTGATATCATACATAATTTAGATAATTATTGATGAAATTTTTGGGAATGATTGTCTATGATTTATAATATTTAATATGATCTTGTAGTTTCTATTTTTAGAAATATCTAGACTTCTTTTGGAATTTTCGAATAAATTATGTTGTACAGTCGTTTCGAATGAAAATATGAAAACGATCAAATCACATGTGATTTTATAGTAGAATCATGTGTAAAATCACATGTGATTCATGTTACTTTGGACGCTTGTTGACTCCTTGCATTAACCGTGTTATGTAATCAGTGTAATTTTAGTGCAAAATCACATGTGATTTGGCTATTTTCGTGTCTAACTTTGGCTCTATTCTCTTTTGAACCTTCCTCTGATTTTGAATTCGATTAAATTGGTAAGAATGAATATAACATCGAATTCATACAACAAACTAGAAAAATAGACATTCGTATGATATTATACGTGATTCTGTAGAGAAAAAATATCTTCTCCATTACAAATAGATTATACAGAGAAAAGTTTGGAAAAACCGTGGTCGGTAAATTTTAAATACAGTACTTACCGATAGAAGTCTTATACTAAGCGGTGGCCTAGCTAGACCCTCGGTTATTCATCACTAAAATTATTATATTTTTTGTAAATAAAATACGGGGCCACGTTCTGTCGACATGTTTCTGTTAAATTACCAACGAGCAGTTACCAGCGAAGCGTTGATGGATCTTGTTATCGGCGGATGATTGATAGTTCTTGTTTCCAAGGGATTACCGAAGGACATGACCATCAATAAGTATTATGTCGAAAATATGATTTTTCTAGTGATCTGTCACTGATAGTGTAATTTTCTAGTTTTTCATTTTCTTGTAGCAAAAATACGTTATGAAATCTATTTTCAGTACATAAATAACGACATTTTCAGTGTTACCAAACTGTATACAATAACATAGTAACATATCCAATTTCTAATAACGTCAAGTATCTAAAAAAGAACCAATACCAGCTATGTAGGGGGAGGGGAGTTTTGATCGAAGAAGTTTGTAGTCTCTGTCGACAATATTTGTTCAGTTTTCTCGTAAGAAGATAAACCGTAGGAGTTTATAATCTCGTTTTGATGGGAGTTGTATTTGTCGATGATGATTTGAATTATTGGAATTCGGTCATCACGTTTATGTTTAGTGCTTAAAAAACCTGTTCTATCTTTTACCCAATTGTTTTACCCATTTTTTTTTTATTAACTTGGATATCCAACCCGTTATGCGAGCCGACTAATTCCAGGGTAGTCCGGAGTCACCACATTTGAACCTCCGTGGTCACAATGAGATTTTTATTCTTCCTTAGATTTAAACCTGAAACCTCTAAGCACTTTTGACCTTTTGAGTAAACTACATTTTTGTTTTTGTGGTTTGTTGAAAATTTCTGTTTTTATCATTTTCGAAATTCTTATTTTCGTCCATAAGATTTACAATTTATCGCTTTCTTTGTCCTTCCAGTTTACAGTTCGTAGTTGTTTCCGTCTTTCATACTTAACGGTAAATTATTGTTAGAGTTACCTAAAAGCGAAAACAATAATAAATTGAAAACCGCAAATACAAAAACCGTAATTTTATAAATACTTGAACATAATTCGTCACAGTTTTTTTTTGTAAGGGTGTCCGGGCCAAAGCCCGACTAATCCCCGACAAATTTGGAGGCTAAACATGGCTCCATTTAAATGTCGCCAACACTCCCCTCCCAGGGCTCGAACTTGGGTTCATGATTATGCCATGTCCAAGCCTTTACTAGGCTATAAAGTCTTTGAATTCGTGACAGTTTTTAACAGCCACATAGAACAAAATCATATGTTTATGCTTAATAAAAATTTGTCAAAAAATTCATGAATATCGGAATTCATTTATAAATTAATTAAAAAAATTGTTTATCGGAATTAATTTATAAATTAATTCATTTTCTATCATTTCAGAATAAAAAAATAATTTTTAATAAAAAAATATCTTATTTTCCAGAAATTGCTTAATGTGGACAAAGTTACTTTATATTGGATTGCTTAATGTGGACAAAGTTACTTTATATTGCATTAAATATAGAGCAACCAAAAAGAAAACATATTAATAGACCATCAAATTGAGATTATGATTTTCTTGATAAATTTATTTAAAAATTTTATTTTGAGTTTACGACAATACAATTAAAGGGTTTACATATGAATTATTTAACCGATTCACATATGAATCTGACAATGTGAATTAGTTAATTAGTTCATATGTGAATCACAATGGTTCATATGAACGTGATTCAGTTAATTAGTTCATATGTGAATCACATGGGTTCTTATATGAATCGGTAAAAAAAATTCTTATGTGAATTACACGAGTTCACATATGAACATTCACTTTGAGTTTTCTTAAATGAAGGGTACAAAATCACCTAACACATGAAATACTTGAAATAAAAGCCTTGAAAAACTAAAATACAACATTTTTTAACATGTATATTTGTAAGAGTATAGGATGAATTCACAATACTAGATTTTAAAGAAAAACCTAGAAAATAAGTATTTTGACGAAGAAGAGATCTAGACTTTGAATCCCCAAAAGATACTTGAATCCTTGAGTTAGAGCTCTTAAATACCCATTAAATGCAATCTAAAATCGGCTAAATGAAGAGAGAGAAAGATAAAGAATATTCAACGAGAAGAATCCCTGAAAACGAGTCTTAAACGATTGGTATGATTCCGCAACCACACCTGCATCAAAAAGTTAGAACTCGAAAACAGTGCCTTGTGTAGCTTCCCCTGCGGTCTACGCCGCGCATGTGGCCGCGAGTCTTTTATGTTTCCTTGAATCAACTTCATAGTGTATCACGTGACTTTAGCCATCGTGGGCAAGTCGCGGCAGTCACTGTTTTCCAGAATTTGGACCTTTTTCTTGTCTTTCGTTGCACGAATCCTTATAAATATAATGACCCTCATAAACCTCCATTATCTAGATGATTCTAAGGCCAAAAGAAAACATCTAAATATAAAAACAAAAGCGCATAAAAATCGGAGTGTTACACTAAGACCTCCGGGTTGCTTTCTCTACGACTTTGGCAACAATAACTCCTTGCTTTCGTTGCACCATAATTTGAAATCTTCTTTCATAGACTAGCGATAGTTAAAAAGAGCGAAACACAGTCAGTGTTTAAATCGAAGTGATTCCCGTGTTCACTGAGCTATATCTCTATCTATTAGTTAGCCGATTGAAAGTAGCGAGTTAATGTGATATATAAGATTTACGTAAGGGAAAGAAAAGCCGGTCTTTTGAGCCTTTGATTTGAAGCCTATATGCTACTAGTGAGCCTTTAGCCCATTTATTCTTTAAAGTGTAGTATAGCATGTGTGACGGGGAGGCGGCTCGGGCATAGTGGGCGGTTTTTGACGTGTTGTATAATAGAGCTTATCTGCAATCTTGTGGTCTGTTGTGCTATGAATGTTCTTGTTGATTAGTTGAACACCAAAGAATTGAAGTCTCATTCAGAATTTGTTGCGAGTTATGCTCCATGTGCATTATGGCATACGTCTCTTTTGATTTCAATGAAGGGGCTGTTTACCAAACACTTATTCGGTAAACGCTTACCGACAAAATTCAACATTATCATTACTTACCGGTTTCATTCTTTAGACGTGAATCTTCAAAGTTCGGGATACCATTTTGAGGTGTCATAGTTCCGCCAACAAAACTCTTACCAGATATGTTTTGCTAGGTGATAAACAAATAAGGCTGTTACAGGGTTTTTATAACGTATCGAATGGAGTTTACAATATTTTTGTAAAGCTGAATAACTTTATATTAACAATTTTAAAAATCAATTACAAAATTAAAATTAAAATAAGTAAATAATTACATTTTATTCTTCAGAATATTTTAAAACAATATAACAAAATCTTACAATTATTCAATTGATAAAATAGTGGACGTGTTTTTTTTAAAAACTTGTATTTTTTTAAAACCACTTGTAATGGATATATGTTCAGGGGTGTTTAAGATTGCTTATTTAAAACAACTTATGTTTTTCTATAAAAACATTTATCAATTTATTATAAGTCAGAAGGGTTTAACTTCTTCAAAAACTCGTCATTACCGGTTTGACACTGGTATAAGTTGTTTATCCAAACACTAAAAAATGCTTATTACCGATATTACACCAAAATAAATTAATAAGTTATTTTTATAAACAATCACAAACATTTTATAAAAATTACATATCACAAAGAGCCAAAAAGATTTGGGTAACTAAGACCCTTATATCTGAACTGATGCCAAACAGACTACCACACACCACCATCCCTTTTTCACTGATTCTTTGACAAAATCTGCAGTGGGTACATGTTAGGTGTGTTTTCTCCTCTGCCATTTGCCCTTCTTCATACCCTACCTCCATTCATCTCTCACCACCTTCCCCTTGTTTAGACACCTTTTTTTACCTCTTTTTTTCTGCAAATCACTCCATTAAATCCAATACTCTCTCTCTCTCTCTCTCTCTCTCTCTCTCAGTTGGTGACAGAGCATCTACAATCACTCGCAATAATCTCAAATGCACACTTGACTGTAGTTTTCTTGGGGTTCAATTTGCCTTTCTTGTTTCGTTTTGAGCATAATCTTGAAAAAACCGATCTGGGTGTGCTAAAATACCTTGTTTTGCATCTGGGTGTCCGAAGACCCAATCAAAACCCTAAATTGGGTTATTTGGGTAAATCGAACACGCATTGATTTCAGTTTTTCAATTCTAAATCTGGGTATTTATGGTTAAATCAATGATGGGGAGCAATAGTTTGGTTTATCCAATACTTGGATTTGCATCTTGTATCGTTTTTCTTTACTTATCTTTTGGGGATTTCTTATCTGTAAATTACAAAAATGATCCCAAATTGAGTTTTGTGGAGAGGAATGGGTCTAATTTCATTGTGGATGGTAAACTGTTTTACATCAATGGATGGAATTCATATTGGTTTATGGACCATGCGGTTCATGATTATAGCCGCCCAAGAATCAAAGAAATGCTTCAAGCTGCAGCTAAGATGGGTTTGACTGTCTGTAGAACATGGGCTTTCAATGATGGTGACTATAATGCCCTTCAGATTGCCCCTGGACAATTTGATGAGAGAGTATTCAAGGTAACAAAAAAGATCTCCATATCTTTTGACATTTTCTCTTGGGAATTTTGTAATTTCCATTCATGGTGACATATTCTGGATACATTGTATGTTCCATTTTCCCTTAAATTTTGTCCATTTATGGGTTTCTGAAGATCATACAATTCTTGTTCCAATTTGACCATAAAGATCCATGTTTTGTATTCTTGATATGGGCTGTGCTCTGGAGAACAGCAATGAAAAGTACTCGAACCCCGGTGAGCTTTGAGTCACCACATTTGAACCTCCATGGCCACAAGGGGATTTTTGTTCACCCGAGGCACTTTTGACCTTTGGAGTCAAATTCAAACCAATCAGGCACCACCCTTGTGGCTAATGGCTGAAGTCTTATTGTCAGTTGCAAAATGATCTTTGTTGCAAACCAACATGGTTCGTGCGAAAATGGGAAGAATAAGCAAATTTTGAGAACTGGTGGAAATGTGAAAGCTAAAAGCTAAAGAAACATATACGTGAAATTTTTGTCCAAAGTTGCTTATTGGAAGTATAGTGTTTTTTATGTTGTTTTGCAAGAACAATGGGTTGTTTGCAATCAACAGTTTCAGAGTCTTATCGCTTTATTCAACTTTAGTAGTTTGTTTCATCGTGCTGTACTTGTTGTTTGATTGCACATAGTTTGATGTTACTTACCACACTAGGGGTTAGATACCCTCTGCAGCCCGATATACTTGGTTCTGTTTGTTAACAACTTAATGAGCTTAATAGGACACATAGCTTAGTCGGTCAGCTATGCATAACTGTTTGGTAGTGGCTTAATGATATAGAAAGTGGCTTAGTGTCTGTTTGGTAGCATCTTAATGGGACTTAGCTTATTCTGTCAGCTATATATGACTGTTTGGTAGTGGCTTAATGATATAGAAAGTGACTTATTGAGTAAACTTCTAGGGGGAAGCTTTATGCAGAGAGTCAAGTTTTTTCCAAACATGCTTCTCTCAATTTAAAAACACGTTCCTTCCATCTATGAAAAATTCCTCCAAACAAAACCCTTAATTCGCACAAGCAGCTTTATCCATACTGGTTAATGGAAAACTAACCAAACAGCCCCTTATTCAGTAAGTTTCTAGGGGGAGCTTTATGAAGAAAGCCAAGTTTTTCCAAGCTTGCCCCTCCCAATTATTAAACACGCTCCTTCCATCTATGAAGAACCCCTCCCAAACAAAAACCCTTCCAATCCATGAAGTCAAATCAATCCACATAGTGAGCTTTATCATATAGGATTTAATGGAAAACCAACCAAACCGCCCCTTATGAAAAATCTCTCCTAATCAATACAGACAGATTAATCCACATAGGAAGCTTTATCGATACAGGAATTAATGGAAAACCAACCAAACACCCCCTTGGTTCGTCCGGTTTGGTATTAAAATTGAAAAAGTTTCTTATTGTTAAAATCACCTATTTGCTTATTGATATTTTTACAAAATCTTATAATATTGATTTGGGTTCAAAAACCATCGAAGGGTATTTAACATTTGACTAATCCCTACACGTTCTCTTTAAAACCGTTGGCTGGTTAAAAGTTGCAAGTTTCATAAGAATGAGTACTTGATGAAGGCATCTCCTTGTAAGAATTGTAGTTCAGTTCAAGAATTGCAGATTTCCCTTTTATGAATTTGAAACCAGCAAGTGCTTTAGCTTTACGCGTTATATTACTTTTTTTTCGCACACTTTTCACAAGCTGGGGTTTTAACAAAAAACAACCGCTTTACTCTTTGGAGGAGAGGTCGGGTCTGCATACATCTCACCCTCCCAAACCCCACCTCCACGTGTGATATACTGTGTTCATTTGGTTTGGTTTGGTTTAGTATTTACCCTTGCCTTCATGGTTTCTCTATATAATTTTCCATTTGAGACATTTCACTAAATTCATTGGATAAAATGGGGACCATTGCAGGCGTTGGATTATGTCATTGCAGAAGCGAGACAAGTTGGAATACGGCTCTTGTTCAGTTTAGTTAATAACCTTCAAGCTTACGGTGGCAAGACTCAATACGTCAAGTGGGCATGGGATGAAGGTGTTGGGTTGAGCGCCTCTAACGACTCCTTCTTCTTTGATCCATCAATTCGCCTTTATTTTAAGAATTATGTCAAGGTACTAATACTCGCTCTTGCAAGTGTAGCGGTCTTTTACTCGCTTTCTTTCCAATAAGATGTCAAGTGCGATGATTAAAAAAGTCAGTCGTTCTTCAATGATAAAATCTTGAAGAAAATAGTGAGATTAGCATGGTGGTATGAGTTTCCCCCCTGTGAATCGAAAGGTGGTTTAGTGACACTACGATTTCTAAAATGGCCAAGATTTAACATGGATGTCAAGTTTATCGTCCACTTTGCGCTAACCCTGTCATTAACCTTTTGTAAACGGGTATCTAGTATCTACGTCATTAAATCTTACCAGAGTAGCAGGTTATCAATCAAAATGAGTACAAAATAGGAAATTTTGAAACTTTATTATTAATTTGAGCGGTTAATTATAGAATAGCGGGTTTATTAATGTCCTAGGATTCTAATCTTCCCATTCTTGATTCAATGTTTCAGACGATCTTGACGAGGAAGAACACAATCACAGGAGTCATGTACAGGGACGATCCCACCATTTTCGGGTGGGAGTTAATTAACGAGCCACGGTGCATCACCGATGCTTCTGGTGACACCCTACAAGTAAGTCACTCTTTCGGTTTTGTATTTTGAGTACGAATTAAAGATATTCTTATTATGTGTCTGCCTTTCTTGTCTCACTTTCCACAAGCAAACCGCTCTACCATTTACATCATACGCTACCCCCAGACCCACCTCCGGGTGGGATATACTTTGGTTTGAATTAACCATACGGCCTGTGACTGCAGGACTGGATAGAAGAAATGTCGTCGTTTATAAAATCAATCGACAAGAAACATATGTTGACAATTGGTCTTGAAGGATTTTACGGTCCTAAAAGTTCTAAGAAGACAACGGTTAATCCAGAATTCTGGGCTGCTGATCTTGGAGCTGATTTCATTCGTAACTCTGCTCCCTCAGCCATCGACTTTGCATCTGTTCATATATATCCCGATCATTGGTAAGCTCTAGCGTTAGGTCATTTATCAAACACAATTGTTGTAGGAAACGAAAAATCAAACTAGTCAGGATAATCTAAACACGAAAAATTCGCTAACTTTTTTGTTGTTGTTGATATTTGCAGGTTTAAAAAGAAGAGTCTTGAAGGGAAACTAAAATTCGTGGCGAAATGGATGCGTTCTCACATTGAAGATGGTGAAAAAGTGCTGAAGAAACCCGTCATGTTTACTGAATTCGGTTTATCAGATGAAAACAAAGGATTCGACCCTGCACAACGAGACCAATTCTACAAAACCGTTTTTGACGTCATCTATGAATCTGCAAAGAAGAAGGGAGCTGGGGGAGGATCGTTCGCATGGCAGTTCTTTGTGGAAGGAATGGAGGATTACAATGATGATTTCGGGATCGTGCCATGGAAGAGAGCTTCAACGTATCAAATCATAACCGAACATTCTTGCAGGTTAGCGAAAGCTCACGGGACGATTGCTTCCCAAAAGGAAAACTTGAAACAAATTTGTAGATGAAAAATGGTTTTGATCAGAAGAATTCAAATTTGGTTTATGGGTTTTGGTTGATTTTGGGGATGAAGATGGTGTTTGGTTTTTTTGTGTAAGCCATGTTGTTCCCGCCATATATATATAAATAGTTATTATTATATGAAATCTTTGATGTAGATTTTTCATGTTTGATGAGGTTTGAATCTTTGATTTTTAGAAATGTTCGGTTATCGGATAATTATAAGTTGAATGTGTCAAATATGTATCGGTATCACCCAATCTGTTGTTTAGGTTTCAAGGCGAAGGATCGTGTGAGAAGGAAAGTTAGGATGAGAAGCGTAAGACGAGATCTGAACTAGGTTTGATCCAACAGTGGAGGTCTCTTCTTACGCTTCTCATTCTTGAGGAGTGGTGCATATGAGATTTTCGGTCAAGATATGCAGTGGCGAATCGTGGACTTAAAGATTTTTGTCAATCGGGTGCACCTTTAAAGTGGATTAACCCCTGTAAAGTCGTCCATGTGTTTTATAGTCCAATTCCACAATTTCGAGGGTTTTTTTTTTAAGTTTTTCGGTTGATTTTGAGGGATTTTTAAGTTTTTTTAGTTGATTTTGGGGACTTTTTGATTTTTTTGGTTGATGTTTTTGTATTTCTAATATTCTGGAGCACTCCTCAAAGTTTAGCGGGTGCAACTTTCATAGTAGAAAAAGTCTACTTACGAGAATAAGTTGAGTGGGTGCACGGAACACTGCTCGAGGCTTAATAGTTCCACCCTTGAAGATATGTATTACTCGGTGTTTTAAACTTCATATCATGGCTACAAAGTGCGTATTTCATGTCCCATTAACCCGATAGCAGTTGTTTGAAGTCTACCGTTGTCTGGGCATTATGGCATCGCCAAGGCACAATGTTGATTTCTTTTAGTAAATTTAACTCCAAGTTTTATAACTTTTTATAAATTTTATTTATAAATATTTTTTTTCCTTGTATGAATTTAAATTATTCAATACCATTAACTAATAGTGAATACATATATATGTATATACACACACAACACAAACACACACTTGTTGCTTTAATCAATGTAACAAAAAATGATGCGACTTTGTCATGACTTCTAAGACTTGAGCTTTAACCTTGCCGACATCCAATGCTTAATCTCATTGGCTCATTCACAACCATGTTATTGCCATAACCTTTTCTTCGCACTGGACACATTATAATAACGAACATTTATGTTTTATCTTTACATTGTAAAATGCTACACACTTTTTTTTGGGTATAGAAAGTGGCGGATCAAAGAATTTTTTCAAGTGGTGGCACCATTTGACTATAAGAAACAAAGATATGGTTATTGTAACACCCGTATTTTTGGTCCTCGTTTGGAGTTTATTAGTGCCCTTATTGGGGATTTGAGTTGGTTATCTACACTCTATTATAAAACATTTGACAAAAACTCTTAAAACCCATTTTTTATGTATGAGGTACTCTTTATTGATGTATATTACTTAAAATTCAAAATTACAAGTAAATATATGATTTCATTTGGAAAATGATTTGTCTCAACTAATGATGGGTTTTTGTAACACCCTAAAATAGGAGTAATTTTTAGCCCGAAAACAACTACGGAATATTTACTTAGATAATAAAGATCACCCAAAATGAGGAAGTGTAAAGCATTTATATCACAAAAATATGGATTGTAGATGACAACCTACTAATCTAAACCAAAACTAGGTGAAGAATAACATGGGTGTCGCTACGATCTCCAAAATTATTCTATTCAATGCGTGACGCTAAATATCTTTAGACGTTGTATCTCCAAAAATGTCCATAATGGCAACTGTCGCTCCACTCAAATCTTAGGAGCCCCACCGCCTGGAGATCCCGATATACATGCTATCTGAGAAAAAGTGTTAGACTTAATGCCTAGTGAGATCATACAGTTTTATAAATATAGACAGAAATAATGAAACTGGAAATTTAGTGCTTAAAGAATAAAAGGTTCCAACAGTTCGAAAGTAAAGACTATAGAATCAACAATGTGTCTTGCAATGATGAAGGAGACTTGATTTCCATTTATCTTGGTGGAACACAAAAATAGGTCATGAGTCCATGTTCTAAAGATTATATTATGGAACATTGGTCATTGAGTTCAACCACCCATGGTTTATAGCTCGAGTCCTCCAATGAACTAAGATATGCTCAATTTCTAGAGTCAAATTATTATGGGCCACACAGTTATCAAGTTCAACCACTCTTGGTCTATAGCTTGAGTCCTTCGATAGTTCAATACATGCATCTAGCTGTTATATGGGAACAACTATCCCGTATTATATACATAAACCGACTTATATGCCCATGAATCAATTGTATTATAGTCTAAGCGTATCGTTGCAGTAAAATATTTAATTGCAATCAAACACATGGTTTCCATCACATAATCAAATCGATGAATGATCAATAGGGCTCAATGCCACATATTTTTCCTATAATCTAACTCCCTTTTCCCAAACCAAATATTGAAGTCATTGATATTTCCAAAAGTTTCAAAACTCAAAATAATAGCAACTTCAAGTGTAAATACTTCACTTTTTAATCTAGTCAACCAAGTGAAATCATGAGTTCCATAAACCAAAATATCACCTATATGCCAAGAATCAATCTTTATAACATGTGTAAGGAAGCCAATACTTCATTTTGTACAACGGGTAAAAAAAACTAAAATACCCTAAATTGATCAAATCCATAAATATGTAAAACCCATAGAGAGGGATGTTTAGGAAACTAAAATATAGTACTTTGAAATGCATAAAAATTTAGGAAAGGTTAGAATGAACTCATAATACTAGGTTTTGAAGAAAACCAAGTAAAATGGTAAGAATGATGAATAGATCTTGAACCCTCAATTTAAATCCTTGAACTTTGATGTTATTAAATGCCCCTTGAATGCTCATATAATCGACCGTAGAGTTCCCTATTCGACTTTAACAAAGAGAGAGATGTGAGGAATAGATGTGGTAAAAAGCCCTAAAATCTTGATTTTAAATGACCTGACAGTGCCACTTGACCACGCCAGCAACCTAGGGTCGCGGCGTGAGTCGTCCAGGATTTTGAGCCCACACATAGACAACCATGCGACTTTGACTTATGTCGCATGGATCCTCACGTATGTCACTGTTTCCCCACGATCCACAACAGAACCCCATGTGACTTGCATCGCGACTCAAGGTCGCGCACTGATGAGATCTAGATATTGTATTTCTACAACACTAAGTGGTGACACATGCAAGTATACACATGTCAACACCATCGTCTTTAAGTAATAAAATGGTAAGAATCAAGTATCGTATTCCACAGGGATAAGTATCTTAAGTTGTAAGATATCGAGTTAAAATACTAATTTCAGATGACGAATTTTAAGACTTTGATTGGATTTGAGTTAACACTACTGAAATAACATAATAAATAAAGGTAGCATGGGTGTAAGACATTTGGTGAGACATAAACACAAATTCCAGCGGACAATGTTGTAGGGATGTTACAGTAAGATCTGTCATAACTAGTTCCACCATCTATTTTGAGGGTATTCCTCTCGGACTTCCACCATTGCACTATATTATAGCTTTCAACTTATATCTCTATGTGGTATCAGGACCAGGGATAATGTCGAATGCTGTCCTCAAAATATATGGATGAACAAATATCTTTGTTAAAGATCACTCTCTCGAGCCGATTCCCATATCATTCAAGTTGGCGTGTGTTCTAAGTAGTTCATCTCTGAACCTACCACACTTTCACACTTTAACAAGTGACCAACCTGTCGACAATTAATTAGTTTGAAGGATATAAATGACAAGTCTCCTTGTCGGCAACTTTCTAAGTCTACTTCTCATATCATTCAAGTTGACATACATTCAATGACTTATCTCTAAGATCATGACACTTTAATACTTTCAAAGTGATCAACTCGTCAAGAAATGTCATTGGTTTTTATAGAACTTGAATGAAATAGTAGAACGTTATTATTGCGAAACAACGTCCACTTTCCTTCGGTTTAAAATCTCACCCTTTGTCTCACACCCAAGCTAATAGAATTAACTACTCATTACGGAAAGTAAATGACAAGGAATATAAAGAACAAAAAATAAAGACAAATATAAATGACGAAAAGTAAATAACTGAATGTAAAGAGCGGGAAGATGATAATAAAGAAAGTAAATAAAGTAAAAACAAGAAAAATGCTGCAACAATATATCTTAAAGAACAATTTTTAAAGAAATTCAAGAATTAACTTGAATATAGAAAGTAACTTCAGATCTGAATCTGATTGAGGGATGCATAAAATAAGTTCCAAGAGGTCCTATCTAATAAAATAGTGGAAGAAAAAGACAAAGTCTTTGGGAAGACAAGACTCCTCAAAAGGATACAAAAAGGTACAAAAGTAAAAGGAATAATCACATCAAGTATATAAAGTACTTTTTCTAGAGTGTTCTTTGCAGATCATCAATCCATAGCCAAGAGTTCATCAAACATTTATTGTTATCTTCATACAGTAGCTGAATTCACAAAACTCTTCCAAAAAGCCGTATCATAAAGACCAAATGCTGGAGGAATGTTGCAACACAAAACATTAGGCATACAAGTAAAGATTTAGCTACCTTAATGGTGTAAAGACAAGCAGTTCACTTAATTTAGCTCCATGTATAAACAAATGGAAAATAATGTAATATAAAGAACTCAAGGTTGGGATAAAAGAAAAGAAACTACATACAAGTAAATGTTAGTCCCAAATGGAATGGCAATAAACATAAAGTAATTGTAGAAGGGGGGGGGGGGGGGCGTTAAATACAATTACACAGACTTTTTTCAACTTTTTAATTCTTATTGATTTATATCAAGAATTAATACACATAGAAATACAAAAGATTGTTGCGGAAGATAGGAAAGGAAAACCTAACCTAAACAATCTTACATGGAGAAGAACTTTCAAGAACAACACAGAGAGTTCTTGAAAGGAAATGAAGAACACTAAGAATTTCTTCGCACACAGGAGAGCAAGGGAGTAGAAAAGAATAGCCGATTGCTTTTAGAATTCACTAAGTAATCTTGCAAAAGCCAGTTGTGTGCATGGGAGATGCACACTGCCTTTTTATACTACCTTCAACATTTAATGCATGGGGAC